ACAAATTCACAGAAAGTAAGTCCCTCCCAACTTGATAGATTCCATCCGCACACATAACACATTCAGGAGAACAAACTACTTTCATGTTTAATAGTTTATCAGTTGTCGGGAGACAGCCCTCACAAAGCTGCCCGAAAAAACCTTTATTTACATTAGGCGGAATAGCCAGCTTCCACACCCTAGTCCAAGGTAAGAAACCAGTGTAAATTTTTATATTTTGTTAATTCTACAACAGATTTTATACCCACTACAACAAAAAATATGATAACATCAAACCAATATATAACTCCCTGCCTCTCTGCTTTTGCGTTAAATATTTATATTAGCTAAAAACAATCTTCACAATTGGGGCTACAGAACACTCTGCTTCGATCCTGCCTTATAATAAATATATAGTGTGATCTGTGAATACCAATTAGGGGATTAACTTTATAAAATTAAAAAGGGAAAAGAGTAGTGTGAATAAATCTAGAAGGCCAAATGCAGATTCATGGAGACATATGCGACTCTAGAGAGACCGTGAACCCTAGGTATATTAAACCTTCAAAAACCCCAATAAAGTACTTCCCTCAAAAAACCCCAAAATAGTGATTAATCGGCCAAATGTCGGCTTTTGTGAGTAACGCCAGAAATCGAGCGCTATTGCGCTTAATCACTCGACGGAAAAGTGTCGACAAAGCTTTGGTTTCTCACAGGTCCTCGCTTATGAAAATCCCAGCACAAATCTGTCGCTCGCTTGGGCGTACGCGCTTAAGCGAACTTTTGTTTTATTTTAATCGCTAGGGATGGGTGATGAATGCTTACAGCCCACGTAGTCGGAGATGGCCGGCCATAGACAAGAGAGCAGAGACGAAGGAGCGCAGAAAAGATCGATGGAGCGCAGAGAAGAAGGACCGCAGATGAGTGGTTCTGCTTAGTGGGTTAGCCAGATCTATTCTTTTGGGAAGAAATGAATTTTTTGGGTGGAATGAAAAATAGTGGAGGAGAATTTAGGGAGGGGTTAGGAGGGAAAGTGGTGTCCAAAAAAACAAAAATAAAATGTTAAATTTATTTTTAGTATCATTAGTATTTGTTGATGTCATAGTATCACATGTTAGTGACACTTATATGTCGGAAATAAGTTAAGTCGTCTACCAGTGACACTTTTTAAAAAAGTGTCACAAAAAAAGTGTCACTGTAAGGCAGTTTTTTACTAGTGGATATAAATGTCAATATGTCATCGTGTATTTAGTATGTACTAATGGAACTCTTTGAATAAAAATTAGCCGCAGAGCCCTACACTAGCGATAAAAGTTCGCCCCGCTACACTAACGAATTTTTTCCTATCCCGCTTAACAGTGAATTTTTTTTCACTCCCTACACTAATGAAAAAAATTCGCCCCCTTGACTCGAAATCCTGAATCCGTCTTTGGGTGGTCATCCAACGACTCTTAATGTTCAGGCGGCCCTCTTTCATTTTGGGTCTTGGACGATGAGGTGTATGTGATCGTACTTTGACTCGGCCAGGTTGGAGTCTTCTCTTAAGAATGTGGGCCGTTCGTCGAGGAACATCCATCAATTGTCTTTCCTAAAATGTATGAAAATATAAAGTGGGATACCATAGGAATAAGTATGTAACTAGAATAATTGATTCTACAAAATATATCGACTTATTTTTTGTGCAAGCAACAATGTAGTTGTAAACATTATACTTGTACAAGTATAATGTTGTACTTATTCATTAAATTAAAATTTACAAACTCTCACTTTAAACCTTAAGAGCTTTCATATATAAAAAATGCACAACATTGTACAATTAATGTCAAGGTGGAGTTCCAGACCTGGGATGCATTGAGTAAGGGTATTTGTTATGCATTTTCATAAACATACACGTTTACACTGTAAAGGAAATAAGTACAGTTTTAATATTTATTTATAAGTAAAGAAGTATGTTTTGTATCTACAATTGAGTGAGGGTTTAAGAGGGGAAGTAACAAACCTCTGCCCCTACCCCATTTGGATCAGCACTTGCAAACATATTACCCACACATAAAGGCCTTGTTTGGCAATCGGCGGTTAGCTGTTAGCTGTTAGCCGGTTACAACGACTGATTGATAATAGCTGATTGTGGCAGCTGTTATAGTTGGTTGATTATGTTAGCTTGTTGTCAGCAAATGTTTGGTAAATTAGCTGTTTAAGAAAAGCTGTTTGTGTGTAAAAAGACGTATAAGGACATTAATATTTTTTAGCTATTGCTTATAAATATAATATTACTTACATTTATTTACGAAGTATAATCATTCATAATTTAGAAATTGGTGAATAAAACTACATGAAAAATAAAAAATAAAATAAAATAAACATTCTATATTAATTTGAATAATGTGAATTTACATTCCAAAAAACATGCATACCAATAAACATGAACAAGTGCCAAAGTGTATCTCACAAAAAAAATACCATAACGTATTTATGTTAACTAAAAATAAAATAAATACCCACGAAATCAATTGCGAGTGCGTTTAGCTTGCATCAAACTTGATGTGATACAATTACGTATAACTCTCATCTCTTGAGTTCTATTATTCATGTCATTTTGTGTAGCGTTTCTTTCAACATCTTCAAATACATCCGGAGGTATGAATTCAGGATCCTCATCAAGAAATCTAAAACCCGGGTCGCCAATTGAGCTCCTTCTAATGTAGTTATGCAATGCGAAGCACGAACAAATTATCTTATTTTGATCCATTAATGAGTAATCAAGTCTACTCTGCCAAAAATATCCAGCAACCTAAGTCCTAATTATATGAGAAAATACGAGTAATCAATGAGTTGTTTCATGTAGCCTATCAAGTAATTTGTAAAGTATAACTAGTTTCCTAATGCTTATGATTACACTTTTCAATTTAGTGCTACCAAAAAAGTTGGCATCTCTGCAAGTGTCTGCACTTTTAAATCATGGAAGTTGCATATGTACATAATAATAGTGATGGGATGGGAGAAGGACCGGTGAAGCATCGGCGTTGCAGCTTCGTTGGCCGAAATCAATCAACCGGCAATTGATTCATCAGAAACCACCGATGTCCCTATGCCATGATAAATTAAATGACAAGGGTTTTTGTTTCTTTAATTCTAGGTTGTAGCTATAGTTATACATAGAAATTTCAACGCCAATTTTAACGTTAAGATATAAACAAATAGAGGAAGAAAGATGGAATGAACACACAGAGCACTGGTGTAAAGAATATAGAAAAAATTACTGAAAGGGATGCAAAAATTAATATGATTCACATACCTCCTCGTTTCTAGATGGCCGAAGAACACTTCTACGTAGGACTTGCAGGTGCTGGCGGAAGAAGCAAAGGAAGGAGGCGAAATTTGCAGGTGCACGTCTAAAGAGAAAGGAGGCGATGTATATACGAAGAGGCGTGAAATCGGAGGGCAGGAAGGGAAGAAAGCGGAACCGCCAAGGCTAAACGCTGCCCTCCCTAGCGTTTGAGATTTTCAGCTTTTTGGGTCAACCAGCTAAACCTACCATCTATTTACCAAACAATAATTTTAACTAATTAGATGGTCAAAATCATTAATTACGGTCAAAGAAGCCAAAAATTGGCTGATAAGCCGTTTTCCAAACATGGCCAAAAGCTCCCCAAACCCTTTAATATGTGAAACAAAGATCCTTAAATTTTGGCTTTTTATCCGCAAAAAAGAGATGCAACCCAACCCGATGTAATGCCTATTTGTAACACGAACCTAATTAAATTTACATTTTGGCTTATAAATTTCAAATTTTCATCCATAAAAAAGGGTGCAACCCAACCCACTTTAATGTGTATTTGTAATACGATACGTAAGAGAATTTACATTATTGCTTCTAAATCCCCAATGCTAGAGCATGAAAGACTCGTTTGGTACATGTTTTTTAATTTGTTATGCATTTTCATGAAAATACACGGTTAAAAGCTCATATAAGAGTTTTAATGAACGAATTCAAAAAAATGATCATATACATTTATTGTGACTAAAAATTTATAATTTTAATGTTTTATCAATTACACTTCTTGAATCGTAATATGAATATCGCTACATGACATGAATCAATTACGCTTCTTGTCAATTTGATGCCTTGTTAAGGACACGTTCATTTTTCATACTTCGTATTAAATATAATCGGCAAAATTAAGCAAGCTCATGGCTGCATAATAAACAAACGACACATAAAGCATTAACATTAAGATACCGTTTGGCAACACTGTTTTTCGGCTTATCAGACTTATCAACCAACTTTTTTCACCAAACACATAACTTTTGCTTTCGCGCGTTGAATTGTGTAATAAGTAGAAAAAGTAAGGTTGGAATTACTTTTCTGGCTGTATTGGCTGAAGTTGCTGTAGATGACCATTTTAGCTATTTTACATATAATTTTTTCTTTGTTTTATTTATAAAATATATTTTATAAATAATGTTTTCTTAAATCAGCAGAATCAGCCAATGCCACTTAAGCAAGAACTTAATAAATTTCAACAGAATCAGCCAAATCAGCCGATTTTTGTGCTATCAAACGGGCTCTAAATGAACTAATTCATCTAGAATAGTGCCTATTCGTTTAGTAAATGAACAATTTAAAGCACCTACTATCCTTAGCATCCCAAACAAAGTTCAACACATCTCGTGGAGTTTAAACCCTGGTTGAACAGCTCATTTTAGCTAGTAACTTTGTTAAGAATGACTGCGTAATATAATTTCTTAGAAATTAAGTTTTGGTTAGTGACTTCATTGGATAGAGAGCGATATATACAAACTTTGTCCATCCCCTCTTAAGACTCCATAACTAAAAATACCAACATTAGGTGTTTGGAGTGGTCAAAATCTAAGTAGGTAAGGAAAGGCCAAACGCACTTTAAAAATTAATTCACGAAACAAGGCCTTACAATCTTTAAATATCATAACCAAGTCGCTTAAAACTAAGTCATATTAACAAGTACAAATGATTTGTGGTGTGATCAGACAAGTAAAGAGCATAAAGACAAACCAGCCATCTTGCTTTATAAAAGCTAGAAAGTAACGAAGATGCGTTAAACATCATATAGCAGCAACAATAGATGAGGATATGTACCAAGAAGATAGTGATAAATACCCCGCCACAAAATGCTAATAAGGATAATTAGATAACTTGTAGTATATGCTTTAGTTCATTGATCATCACTGCCTAGAGATAATACAAATATCTAAATTTAACTCCACATCAAAATACCAAAAGCCGAAAATATAAAAAATAAAAGCATGTTAAAACAAGAATCAACAAATAATCCTACATGTGCCGAAGAGTAAAGCTTGAATCCTTATCTTCTTTTGGGTATATAGCATATCTTCCTCCGGGGCAGCATTCTGTATTCAATCCTCAGGCTCTTCTTCAGCAACAGTTGGGAGGAAACTCGGGTTGATAAACTCTGGGTTAAGAAATTTAGCCACAAAAGCCCACAAATTGTACACATCTTCAAAGTTACTCAAAAAGCCAAGAGATGCAGTGATGACTTCGACTCTTATGAATCCACTTTTGCTGTTGTGTCTGCCGTTATCCATTGGCTTGCACACTGCAGTGTCTTCGAGACTGGATGACCCACGCTGCTGCTTTGAACTATCTAAGATCCGAATGTGACTGAGGATGCCAATGCCGAGATAAATTCCGTGCGATTCAGCCAGCTTCTGCACAACTTCTGGTTTTACAATGCTGCTCCTGTTGTTGCTGTTTCTCACATTAAATGCAACAGATGCCCCTCTCTCATATTTTATTTTGGGTCCGTAGATGTAAACAAGGGACACATTCCCTTCTCCATTCGAGTCGGGCAGTCTTAATTGCAGCAACGAGGTTACAAGCCAGTTGACCAGAAACCTTAGCCGAAGAGTTGTTTTGTTGAGACCCAACATGTTAATATGATCGAGATGCTTCAATATTACCTCAGGTTCTCTCCTGTCTGAATCTTGTCCATCATATTCCACATTACTTGTACGCTCATCATCATCTACACTGCTGTCCCCAGGTTCTTGGTAGCTATCTTCCATAGTAAAGGAAACTCTTCTTCCCCTGCTCCTAGATTGATTAACCTCTTCTCTGCCAAAAATTCTACCACCGCCATATCTGCTCCCTTCCCTCCGCTCTAGCAACCTGAATTCACCTTCTGTCTCTCTTCTTATTGCACTCTCATTAACCTCATGACTTATCTCAGAGCTTGAACCGTTCGGAAGACATTCAGAAGTGGAAGCCTCATTACGCCCAAACCCTTTCAATGCAGAGCTGACCATTTGATCAGGATTTCTAGCTTCTGTTTCTTCTTCTATCTCATGATGAACATATGCTCTTGAAACAATATTTCCTTCTGGGAACTGTTCTTCTTCTGGAATACCATGAAAATAGTCAAACTCTTGAGACACTGAACGCACAGCAGCATCAAACGATAGAACATGGTCAGTGTGATTCACCTCCTTGTCGTATGCTGGGCTGTTCAATATCTTGGAAGGTTTTGGAGATAGACGCTTTTCATTCTTCCTGCTAGAAAACCAAAATGGCGGTGCCGGAGAGGACGTCTTCTGTTTGTATGAATGGCTAGCACTGTCTGAACTCAAAGGGCTTTGACCCAAATCTATCCACAGAGAGTTATCAGATGATTCATCTTCACTGAACACAGGACTTCTCATTACCTCACCAATAGATATGCTTTCAGTCTCTTCAAATATTGTGCTAGTTCCATCTCTGTCTGAAAAGTTCTCATGCTCCATCTCCGTATCAAAAACGTCCCTGACCTGTGCAGATGTGAAAGCACCAGAAAAGGCAGGCAGCTGAGACGCTGGCCAAGATTCTGTGATAACCTCACTATTGTCCCCTCCTGCTTCACCATCTTCAGCCAATCCTGGGAAGCCATCAACAGAATCACTCAAATACAAGGGGAACACGGGAGTGATTTTCACTAGACCAGATCCAGCATGGCCAGACTGACTTTGAAGGCTTGACATGACGGATTTTTTTATGAGAAGACAACCAAATCCGGTCGGGTCATATCCGAATACCCTATAGAAAGATGTGATGATGAAATCTGGACGAAACAAAGACAGACCTAGGGAATCCATGTCTTTAGGCCCCAGTGCACCGGCGTCTAGCAGGACATGCCAATTATTTTGCTGAGCAAGAGCCATCCATTGATAAGAGTACTTTGCACCAGTAACTCTGGATTGAACAGGAAAAACAAAGAGCCCAGCAGCGGAGTCTTTTCTTCTCTTTTTTTTGTTTGAAATTTGTTTTCTCAAATCTGTTGAACAGAGTTTGAGGGTTGGCCATTTGAACCATGCACTGTAGACTTTAGCCCCTTTCTCCCTGGCAGCCTGAGCCATCCAATTAACAGACTGACTCTCATGATCGAACATTGTCAACAACTTCTTGTTTGTGTGAAAAGGGTATGATTCAGCCAGCAATTTAAAAGCAGAGCCTCGGCTAACAGTAAACACTAGACCATACTCATTCTCAGGGATGTTCAAGTAGTCCATAATTCTTGCTTTAATATCATGTTCCACAGTGCCTTTCTCAGCACCCCCATACAAAGCATGGTTGCTCAAATTGGCAGTGATCTCGGACAAGCTAAATGTGGACGAATCCCAATAATGAACAGTTTGCAGAAATGAAAACAGGCCAAATCCACAGTAGTCAAGAAATACCTTAGGACTGGATCCAGAAAGGTGAGAGTACTCATCTGACCTCAGCTGATCAACCCTCTCTGAACTCTCGTACTTGGGGTACATGGTGAGGAATTTGGCGAAGGATTCATGGAGCTCTGGGATGGAGTCCTCTGACTCGAATATTCGATCCGCAGCCAGAGCAGTGGCTTTGAGGAATTCCTTCTGGGCATGAAGTCTTGCAAGTGACCTTGATCTCCCCAAGCTCCCGTCTTGGTTTTCCATGGCTTCAGCATCCATCCCTTGGGATTTAAAAAGAGAACCATCTTCAGATGCTTCCTCAAGTGCCTCCCTGAGCTTGTGTTCTTGTAATTTCCTCAGAACTGATGGGTTCCTAACTTCTTCCTTGGAATGGTTAGCCCCATCTCTCTTTCTTCCCTTTTTGTCCAAGACCAGAGAAGCACAGAAAGATATTGGCTTCCATAGTGAAAGATGCATGAAAACTTTTTTGGATGTACGGCCAATTACACGAAGTATGCCACAAACTGACTGAATTGAGCTCCAGTTCAACACCAGAGGCAGGTAGTAGTTTACTTATCCCATTAAAACCCTAGAAGAAGGAGGGCGAGCCCAAACCCTATCTACAGAAAAGCAAAAGGGGATAAATCTTAAAGCTTTAGACAGCCCTTCGTTTTTCAAAAACCTAACACCCCTGACCTTAAGGAGAGAGAGAAAGCCAAAGAATCGTTTGCTTTACGCAAACATTCAAATACAAAGTACCAACTATCGAAAATTAGTCATAGATCCGAGGGAGCCCAAATTGACCTTTGTATTGAAGATTCAGAAACAAGAGATTCCGCAATCTGAAATAGCGAAATTGAGGTCCACAAGTTAGAGGATGGGTGTACTGATGGAAGAAGATGAATTCATCAATGAATCTAGCATTTCGACTCAAGCTGGAAGAAATAGAAGCGTAAAGGCATGAAAATCAACCAAAGCTGCAAGATGCACAATGGGGGATAAAGCAACACAAAGAGTCAAACCTCAAAATTCGAAGAACACCAACTTTTCAGATCCCTAAAAGGCACAGTGGCAGGAACTAGTGCAGAGAATTTTCTTCTGAAAGAGTTCCGTTTATCGTTCGGCCTCAGCTTCCATCCCCTGAAAGATAAAAGCTTTTCCAATCTCTAATCTCTCTCTAACTTTTCATGAAACCAATTATAAAGACTCGAAATCATGTGCGCATTTACTGCAAATAAGCGCTGAAGAACATACCTCTCTTGATTATCTCCACTCTCTCTCTCTCTCACTATCTCTCTTTCTTTCCGTTTGACCCTATCACCAGCCTATATATCCATCGAGAAAATGGTGAAAGTATACGACTGCACTAATCTTCCTCCCCCACTAATAAAACATACGGAGTAGAAAAGATGTTGACTTCCGATGGGTGGCCTTTCGTTCGAAATAGAAAATGGAATCTAATGTGAACCTATGAGCGTGTTTGCTAAAGTTGATTTTGACATAAATTATTAATTGATGTTGTTAATTATAATTTTGATATACGGAGTAGTGTATATTGAAAATGTCACAAGGATTTTGCAACTGATGAATAGTGAAAAGGTTTTTAAATGTTTTCCTTAAATCTCAATACATATGAATATATGATTGCATCATTGCACCTGTCTTTTATTTTCCAATTTTCCTTCCATTTTCTACTTTAATTTATTTTCTTTTTCTTCTTCCATGTTTTTTGGATTTTATGTTGTATGCTTTTAAATTTGGGTCGTTGCCTCTGAAAATTTGGAAGGTACGGTACATTCGATTATGTGGACAAATAAAATTATGACACATGGAAATTTAAAACATCCATTAATGAAATGGCTTGGAATGTCTTTTAAATCCAATATTAGTGATTTGCATTACGGTCCTTAGGTTAACGTTTTCTAGTTGACGGCGTAAAGGTTATTTCACAGACAGAACGAACGCAAAGCTATGTTGATGGATGGAGATCGATGAGAGTGGCGACCGAGCAAGGGTAAATGGGCTGCAGTTCAATGAAGGTCTCAACAGAGAAACGGGGATCCGCTTCATGCTGCTTTTGTCCAATCCTCTTCCGCAACTCTGCATATTTCGACCAAGGTGGTTGTGTATCTGATCTTGTTTAGTTTGTATCCTCACACTACTATCGATTTTAGATTCTGGCCATGATTTGCTTTGAATGCTATTATAGTATCATTTGAAACCAGTTCTGTGCATATGTATTAATTGTAAACATTATGGGCAGGATCCATGATAGCATTGTTTGATAATCCTTCTCTTCTGATTAGATAAGCACTCTGAGCATTATCTCATACCCAAAATCTACCTATAAAATTTGGATACTATTCTGGTGTCTATACTTTGACCATGGTTCTAAAAGTTGGATAATTCGGCCGGATACTCGCTCGGCGCCCCCTTCCCGCATTGATTTTCTGGTTTTCGGCTCAGTAATCGCTTGTCTGCCATGACCGATTAATCGCCCGCCCAGACATCAAAATCGGCCGCCTGGTATAGATATTGCTCGCTCAAAACCTTTTCTAAAAAAAAATCGTTTTTTGACTTTTCTTACCGCCAGATGAAGGACCGGCCCTTTCTTTCCTTTTGCTTACTCCACAATTGACGTGCCCCTTTCTTCGACCTAATACAAACCTTTCTTCTCTGTGATGAAACGGCCGTCATGGTGAAGGTATTGAATCATCTTCTCCACTCTCCAGCAGTCTAGGTAAAGGTATTCTGATTGTACTATTATACTCCGATGGATTTGAGACTGATGATTAAAAACCAATACATACTTTCGAATAATTTCAGTAGTTATTAAGATAGTTCTAAAATGTATTAATTTTCATGAGACACTTAAAATTTCCAAGTCTTTTACCATGTCCCCGTTTCAGGTTACACCTCAAGAATTCTATTTATTTAGTTTCTTTCCTATTCTTACTGTGTGTTTCCTTCTTATTTAATTTCGTGAGGAGTACTTCATGCCACAAAAAGCAGTGTTGACACATTTTTATGCAGCTGAAGAACAAATTTAACTTGCACTTGAGATTTTGAATCATTAATGCAATTGGTTTGTAGAATTCCGTATTCAATCATTTGCATATACTATATTTTAAAACTTAAGCAGCATATGGAAGAATCTCAAAAAACTATATCAATGAGAAGAAGTATATATTTACAAATGAACCGGAAATGAAACATATTGTGGTTTGAAATCCCAGCTGCCATCATTTATTGGGTATGTTCTTTAAATAATGGTGTTTATCTTTAGATTAGATAGAGTCATAGAGGTCATTGGATTTCCACTAACGGGAAGAAATCTTTTTGGCGTGGTTGAAACCTTTCAAGATTAGGTATGTTTTGAAAGGAGAAGTAGAAACTTTTCTGTTGCATTATGTCAGTGAAACAATGAGAAAGAATACAGCAAAATACCTTAAAACCTAGGCATTGAGGTGAGGAAATACCACTCTCTTATAGTGTTGAAAGTTTTTTTTTACTAAAATACCTGTTGTACACAAATATCCTCATAGGAGTCATAGCTTAAACCACCCTCATTTGAAAAGCATTTCAACAAGTCCTCTGTTTGTTACTTACTTAGCACATATAACATCATATCATTACTACTGTATTTATTTGATTTGTTCCCATGTGATGATACTGCATTTTAACAGGCAAGTTTCGATAGAAGAAGGAGATCGCAAGGCTCGGGAGTGTGGTGTCTTGTTTATAGAAACAAGTGCCAAGGCATGATTTAATATCAAGCTATGTGGTAACTAATTAATTGATAAATTACTTAGTAATCATCACTTTTATTTCTTGATGGCATGGCATATATGAACTGCATTTAGGCTGTATTTGTTTATAGGATTTTCCTGGCAAACAATACATTATGGAAATAACGGCTTATTAACTTATTTTCATTCAGTTGACCTGAATAAAAGTAGTTAAACTTTGTCTAAATCAAGTAAGACTCTTACATAAATTCAATGTCAAGCAACTTGCACTAAAATAAATGCTCTATTGCTTCATGTCTTGACTGTTTCCTAGATAGAAGCACTGATATTTATTTCCATTCTATCATATTTCTCATGGGGTAGTTATATTTCTTCTACTAGATATCTTCTCTGTAGCTTTTGTTTCTGCTATTATAGAGTTCTATATTTATTTCCGTTTATTATTATCTCCTTTTCCATAAAGATCCCGAAAAAAAATTAAACATAACCTTTTTGCATGTATTAGAGAGACTTTTCCAACACAGAGTAAAGATTCTTCTTTTAATGGTGGTGCACAATCAGATCATGCATTAAATAGGGAACGGGGTAACCCGGAGTTCTATTATTTTAGTTAAATAACTTTTTAGTTATGCACATGTCTGGAAGAATGTACTTCTCCATGTCTCCTCATTATCATTCAAATTTTATTTGGAACATGCTGATATAGATCTTCTTAGAAAAACTTTCCTTATGTGCAATTAGCTCCTACATATATTTGGTAGCCTTTAATGTTTCTCTAAGAATCATAAAATCCTTTGAACCAAAGAACATCAGACAATGGTTTAGCTAATCCATTAAATGATTTGTGTACATTTTCAGGATACTATACACATTGTTGAAACCCAAGTGCAAACTGTGGGAGAAAGTGTGAAACTTTGTTAAGAAATGATGAATGATTTGCATCATGTTAGTGTTGCTGCTCCTGCCAACTTCTATGTGAATCCTTATGCTCATCTCGAGATTGAGAAAAAGGTAAAAGGGAAAAAAGGAAAACTACAGACGTATTAGATGTGAATACCACAGATGATGTTCGAGACATCAAGGGTAAGGATGGAGATACTGCTGCTTATCTCTCAATTCTAAGGACCAAAGGGGCGTGATGTTCATAGCGCCACAATCGGTCATAGTTATCACACACTCACAGTGCTGCTGCACACTTCAGTTTTGGCGAAGGTATTTAAGTATTTTCCAGTTCCTTCTATTAATCGAGTTCTTGAAAAATTTGTGATTGTCAAAAAGTAGTGAAAACTATTTTCATGATTGGCTTCGTTTATATTATGTCATTTCCCCTTTACGCAGTGCTAGACAACAATTCCAATGGATTAGTATGACTTAGGATATGAGCAAATGTTCTCCTGGTCCGATTTCTGCAAGTATATATTTTGTTCATTAGCAGTTTCTCACTTGCGAAGTTTATCTTCTTGTTCCATTTGTCAAGTGCACTTGGTCAACAATTGGAGTTCAATGATATCCACAGGAGGTGAAATGCAAATTCGTTAATTTATTAAGCATGAAAAGTATCAATCTATTATTACTTCTATTTTGGCTCCACTTTTATCCTCCAAAAATACATTATTGATATTGCTTTCTTAAATCAACAGTCATTTGAGATCTTTCTAACAAGGATGGGAGAACAAAACATGAGGGTCAAGCTTCTTCATTTAATCAGATCTGTGTGATGAGCGGGTCAAATTGTCACATGTGTTTCAAATCCAATGCATGGCAACACCATTAAAGCTCCATGCGGTCTTAAGGCTCGATCTTTTGATGCTATCAGGGAGGAAGTGAGAGCATTCTTCGATGTTCATGAGCAAGAAGGAAGCAATCCGGGTGGGGTACACTTAAAGATGACGGGGCAGAACGTGACAGAGTGCATTAGTGGTGGTGGATCACAGACCGTGACATTTGATGATCTGAGTTCTCGCTAATACACATTATGACCCCCGGCTGAATGCCTCTCAGTCACTAGAGCTTGCCTTCATCATACCTGATTGCTTAAGAAAGAGGATAAACGGAAGCACACATTAATTATACTTTTAAGGGAGGGGCCAAGGCAGTAGTGATCCGCTCTTCATTAATTATTACTCTGTATTAATTAATATCTTATGTTTAGTTATGTTTTGGCACAATACTGCATTAGTACAAAATATATGTGCATACTGGAAAGGATGTGTATTGTATGAGAGTTCCGGTTTCTATGTTATGATGAATAAAGTGAATTTCCAATTCCTGCAATAAAAAAAGACTTTGACACGCCGTTTCTTTGCACGTGGCCCTCAGTTCCATCTTTTTATTCTCAAGACATTATGATTGCTCCTCTCTCAAATCCTTTTTACTTTGTTGATAGTATTTGTGCATGGTGATTTTATTGTTGCTAAAGGTCAGTGAATGTTTTTTGTGCTTAAGTTTTAGACTATTCAGTAGCTATTACAGCATTAAAAGTGAATCGATGTCGCAGGATGGATGATGCTGACATACTATGAAAAATATTTGATATCCTAGTTGGATTTACATGGCCATTTTGGCTAGTGTGATAATTTGGAATACATGGAAGCAATATATTTCTGTCCACCGGATAGATAATCCTGAAACTGCAAGTGTTCATTGTAATATGACTATATGAGTGTTGTAGTAGTATTGCCAAACTTTCCCCCACAAAAAGTTGGTTATTACTTTATTCACATAGTGGACAGAAACAAAGTAACCTTTTGTCTTAGGGAAATGAGATGTAAGGACAAATCACCTATTAAACCTAAACCCGTATTGAACTATTATTGAACTGTCATAGTTGGAAAGATTTTTTTTTTTCAAACCAAACAACATATTATTTAACAACTCAAACTCCAAATCTGAGCACCCTTCTTTCTGTGCCGCTATCTCCATGGGAAAAAAACTTGGAGGAAGTTCATGGCTGACTGCAGTTAAAAATGCCTTCAGGTCTCGAGTTAAGGAAACCACCCACATTGACTCAAAGAGTAGCAGGAGGAGAGATCAGCATGTACATGAAGAAGATGAAGAAAAGCAAAAGAGAGAAAAGAGAAAAAGATGGTTGTTTAGGAAACCCCATACTCAGCAGTCAACTGAAGTCGGAACTGGTAATAAAGAGTCAACGCATGCCAATATTAATCATCGCTTCAGATCACCAGGCTTCAAGCAGGCAGCAACAACAATTAGCAGCAGCTTCCATTCAATCTGCCTTCAGGATGCAAAAGTCATTATCCAGATATGGAAGTTCGATTGTGGATGATTGGAGGGACTGCCCACAAAAACTTGAAGAGGTACACGCAATGTTGTAAGCAAGAAAGGAGGAGGTAGCCTTCATACGGTCGGACAGAAAGATCACAGTTGCTTCATGCTGTCCCCCAACAGGGGTGGAGCTCAGAGATGGAATATGAGGTAGATGAAAAAGAACAAGAAAAGGAAAGAGCAAATTGGCTGGAAGAATGGATGTCATCCAAACAATCGAAGATCATTTTCTCACAAATAGCATCAACAACTAATTATGCAACACAGAAGACAATTTTTTGAAAATTATCAACTGTAAACAAAGAAATTATATAAAACACATAATTTAAACAGAAAGTGAACTTTCATTAACAATAGAAAATGTATCACAATGACACAAATTTGATAAAACAACACGATGTTCAAAGTCAACACTAAATTGGTGCAAAAGAAAATAGAATTGGACATAAGTAAAGCAAAAGCCAGTAAGCCCTTAAATAACTTGAACTATGTAATGACAGATAAGTATTAGACATCATAAGTAGCATTCCTCCGCCTCTTAAGCTTAGTCCAATACTCAATTGCTTTTTCTTGTACATTCTCTCTCAAACCATTAAAAGGGTGCGTGACCATATCAATCGCAATACGCAGCCTTGAGTCAGGACGAATCTATGTAAAAAAAATCATTTTAGTAGTACATACACACAAACATAAATCCACACATACATTAGTGTGTTTTTGTCATAGTTAATTGAATTGAATATTTAGGGGTTTAACTAGAAAAACACTTACAAATACTTCATCAAAATCTTCACGAGAAGCGCACTCTATCATCCACTTCGCTACCCATACTCCACAATCACCACTTGCATTAAATACAAAAAAGGTAAATGATATTGTCAATGCCATGTATTTAGGCCAAGGAAATGAGTTATACAGAAACAAAAGGATGAGTGAGAACGTATGATCCAAATTGTTGACTCGGAAGACCTTTTGGCTCAACCAAAGTGAAGCTAGATATATCATATTTGGATTTGGAAGGTATATCATTTTCATCCAACATTTTTTCGAGAAAACTAGCCTATACAAGAAAATAAACTTTAAGTATCAAATAGAGGGGAAATATTTGTAAGAGTAATATAGAAATACCAGTTTCTTAACGGAGAGACGTCTATGTTCCCTTCTTCCTTCCAAAGGATAAGAGTCCAACAAAATCAACATTCTTTCGTCAAATGAAACAATCAACAAATACCAGTGGACATGTTGATCATTTATTGGAATGAAAATCTGCAAAATTTGGTCTAAGTTTAGTTATGTTGAATCAAATGGCTCAAAACACAATACAAAATTTCTGCAAAATTACCTTTCTTAAATAGTCAACTTTTCCCATGAAATCACGTTGATAGAAGCCTTTCAAAATTTCAGGTTCGTAATCCCAGTCCAACACATATTGCTGCAGTGATAAGACCCATAGAACACAAATTATAGATATAAATGTGTGTGTATTTGCAAATATATTATAAGAGTACTTACTGAAAACATAGTTGGTAGAAACCACATAGTCGAAAATGGTGCAAAGTGAATGTCCTCATATGTAAGCTTACATGCCAACAGATTAAGAACCTGCACATTGTACTTACAAGTTAGGGTTAGTTATTCAATAAACGCAGCCAAGTGGCCAACAAACACAAACTAAGAATTGCTAATAAACCCACATGGTTGTATCACCAAAGGGATTTTTATATGAAACTAAACACACAAAATCCAAAGTTGTTTAATAAAAAATGATGGATATGATTAAAATGATAGTTATTTTATTTTAAAAGATATTCTGTATTCGTATTTCATATAGTACTACTTCGTAATTTTACTCACTTCCATGTCATATTCTATATAACTAATAATTTTGACTAGGCTAATGATTATTCTGCCATAATAATCATAATTATCGAAACATTATTTTTTGTTAGATCTTTTTTCCGTGATGCATATATGGAATATGAAAATTTCGGATGCAATGTGTAAATTATGGAGCAAACTTGTTAATTACATTTGAATGACATGATAAGCAAATTGATAAAATTATAAACAAATTATGGTGGTAAATATATTTTTATTTATTATTATCATTATTACAATAATATAAGTAAGAAAATAGCATGCATATAGATATGATGAAAAAAAACAAAAAAAAGCATGCATATAGATAACAAACATTTTCCCAACTATAATGATCTTTTAGCTAACCTCTTGGTCAATCCAAGCCTTGGGCATGAGGGTGTTCAATGTTTTTTGATCTCCGTCACCATACCTTGTGCTGATAAGAACTTCACTCCTACATGGACAAAATAATTTACATTAATATCCATTTGTATAAGTTTTTTGAAAAATGTAAATCACATACCCATAGTCATTATTCTCATCCCTCATGAAAATATATGAAAGTAATGCAACATCAATTTCATCCATAGTCATGTCTGCAGGAGGAGTAAATGAAATTGGAACCCACTACAAAAGAAAATGACATGCGTCAGAATAAAGATAGTTAGAACGGAAAAGATAGATTGAATAATATATGTAGTATAACGTAACATATTTTTGGTATAACAAACCCAGTAGAAGTTCTGCCATTGGGAATGCCAGGAAAAGGCTTAAAGTTGATATAGAAATGGTTCTTCTCGCATTGCTCAAATTTAGAGAACAAACTCTTTTTTATGTGACTATCGTTTTGGTCTCTCTCACATGACTCTCCTTTAGTGATAATTGCCGTTTCGTGAAGTGGAGCACTGTCTTCCTTCTTTTGAATGGACGGGAGCATGAGAGTTGCTGCATTGGTTATCATAAGGGGAACACCGGAAGGACTCAACTGAAAAGAAATATTTGGATTTTGGCTTTTGATCAGATTAGCCAGATTATTGAATGCATCTTTTATATCCTCAATCCCATTAAGGTTAGCGTAGTCACGCTCCTTTTCATTGTGGCCTTTGAAACCCGGAACCGGGCTAGAACCTTGTGAGGGAGTACCTACTTGATCTTCCCCAACCTTGTTGAACTGACTTTCCGGACAGCTTATATTTCAGTGGAAAAATAAATCAACAAATAGTAATAGAATATAATAAATCATAACAAAAAATACACTGCAAGGTATAGAAAGTTACCTTGAATAAATATCAATGATTTCAATTTGTAAATGCAGTTTTTGGCTACGAAAGCCTTCCACATGACCTCCAGCTGCAATTGATGGTCCTTGAAGCATTAGATTGCTCATTGAGTTTTTCCCGTTCCCATTTGCTACTGCTGGACTTAGTAACTTAGTTGGGTTTTTCAGTTTTCGGATAGCTCCCCTTTTCTTGCCCTCGCGGAATCTTCCCATGGCTGGAAATTGAGTCTGTATTTTGCAGAGTGACTGGAAGTAGTTGCTTTACGTGAGATTTGTAGTTCAGTTAGTCGTACCAGATATATATGCTACAAAATCCAGACCTCAAGTCATGCTTGGGACGTGCGTCATGGTATGAAATTACTGCTGAAGCAGTTTCGGCCAGTACTCCCAGTTGCCGCTAAAGTCGCACAAGTAGGGAGCCCCAACTGAGACCCATTTCTTCCCAACATGTGTGCAAAACATTTGAATACTACGTATATCCTTAAATTTATCTCATTCTAAATTTTCAAATCTGATTTTTTTAAAATTTTTACATTAGAATTATATATTAATAGTCAAAGTTGTACATCAGCAAATGTGAAAAGTTGAGCGTTACACTTATTTAAAAACGCATGAAGTGTTAGATATAGGGGTGGGCAAAAATACCGAACCGGCATGGTACCGAACCGAACCGATATGGTATCAGACCGAAAAACGGGGTTTGAAACGGATCTCAATTTTTTTGTCCCGAACCGAACCGTACCGATTCTAAACAATGCCATGACCGGTTCTCATAAAATGAGAACCGAATCCGGACCGAACCGGACCGAAGTATGATTTAATTATTTAAATTTACATTTATACCATTATTTTGACTAGTGCCTTTACATTTTCACCGTCTTTGCTAGTTCATAGGAAGCCTGGAATCGGACCGATGTATGGTTAAATCATTTAAATTTGTACTACTATAATTTATCTGAAATTTATTAATTATGTAATACTACCTCCGTCCCAAATTGATTTGCAAATTTAACTTTTTTTGTCAAACAGATTCATTTTATTCCCTTAACAAGAATGTCAATTTTTAATTATATTTAATTTGGAGCTTGCAACTTTGAAGAAATTTCAATGTAGTTTCTGAATATGTTTAGTTTAATTATTACAAATTGAATTAATTATCAATAAAGAGAATTTAACTCTAACATTGGTTGACCAAAAAATATTGACTTTGCATGTCAATTTGGGATGGAATGAGTATGAAAATTGATAAATTGTGTAGATTTTTGGAGGACGACTAAACTTTAATTGTCTCTTAAACACTTGAAAAAGTGGCATTGTTTGGTATTAGTATGGCATGGTACCGTCCCGTTTCAAGTCAGATATCCTTTTAAATTCACCTTCTTCAACACCCACTGTTGGACCTCCCTCATCACTAGAACAATTCTCATTGATAGCAACACCTTCTTTTCCAGTACATGATGAAGATTCTCTTTCTTCATTAAAATTATCAGTTGCTTGACTGTCACATTCATTCATCTACAAAATCAAAGTTACAACACGTTAAAAAAATACTAACTTTATACTATTATTGAAATTGCAAATATTGGCAATAAAGTTTATCAATAAAACATAACGAATACTTTTTGTTTCAGAAATGTGTATAGCGCAAAATTAATTACAAGAACAGACAGCAACAATGAAACAATAACAATGAATATGAAAGCATATACTAAGTTTGTTGATATGAAAGTTAGAATATTTGTTGTAATTGGGGAGACTAGACACTTTATTATATTTTGTTCTCTGCATAGAGACATATATAGATTAATGTTAGCCGGCCCCAAAATTTTTTTGGAGTAAAACTTGGTTTCAACTGTGTACTCATATGTCACATTTCAATCTTTTTGTTGGAATCTCACGATCATTTGTGAGCTATATATAATAGATTAATATTTTTAAGATCATTTGTGAACTGAAAAAACAGGCAATGTAAACAACTTTGGCAAAACTTACCAAAGCCATGAGCAGCCTATTGCCAATAGTTCAGAACAAAAATGTATGCAAAAGCCACTCAAAGATGTTGCTCACAGGTTCAAGATGCTACAATTGCTGCTGCTAGCAAATTACTGGCGTCCGCTCCTTGCGAATATTTCACCAATGAATTTGATTGAATCCCTTGATTAATAATCACTCATTCAATCCTGCAAAAGCACCCCAACTTTCATGAATCCTTATTAGCGATCAACATGTTTTAATATTGTCAGCTTTTCAATGAGCTTTTAAGATTAAGCTGTGAAATGGAAAAAGACTAGTTAAAAATAAAAAGAAATATGCAGAGCAATATGTTGTTCCTAGACTTAATAGAAACTTCATTTAACACAAGCCTACGCTATTGCAACTTCGTTGCATAATTTTCACATTCCAGTTGCCTTCAGCAAGAAAGTAAATGGATTTCTTTTGTCCACTATTGTTTTAAATATGTTCAGCAAAGCATCTTTTTATCATTGGTGTATGTTGCCAATATGGAGTAGTCATAATATTATCATTTTCACAACCAAATAAACCTGATGTGTGATGACCATCAAACATGTCTCTCTACGATTGCAAAAATAAGAACACATTCAAATTTATACTTGAATGGACTGCAATTGACGCAGTTTGTTCTAAATTGATAATTGATGGTACGTGAGCATCAAACCCAATGTTCTAAAATTCGCTAGGCGCTAGTCGGGCGGCCAAGCAGCGCCTAGCGCCTAGGACGACTAGGCGCCGATTAGTCGGCCAACTCGGTTTTAACATAAAACCAAAAAATATAAATATCCATGGAAAAAAAATACTACCTCCTTTCCAAAATAATTACTCAAATCCAAAACTTTGACCAATAATATATATTTATTGGAAATTATTTATAATATAAAAAAGATATGAAAATGTTTGTTAAAAGTATTTTCATGAGTATTCTCTTAATGCATATTACCTATTTATAAACATGTTTACAATAATTAAAAGTTTAAAACATCACAATGAGGTAATAAGATAAAGCCGGTAATGCTTTGCATCATTTTGGTAAAAAGGTCTGAGCGGAAAAGTTAAGCAGGGGATAGACCAATTATTAATTTCCTAACGATTAGATATCTAGCATTAACCGAACTGAGAAGAAACTTTATACATAATCACTTATGAGCAGGGCCATATCCAACTTTCAAAATGTTAATAACCCTTTTCCCCCAGAAGTTCAAATAAAGCCATTAAGAGAACACAACTCAAATATCAGGTAGAATCTTGTTTTGCAAAAGAAACAACAAAATCCAATACAACTACGGTAAATATTAGCACTGCTAGGTTTACAATAATTAAAACATCACGTATCTAGCAAATAAAAGGTTAACTACGCAGTAGTACAATTGTACAAGTGAGATATGCAAAAAACTTATACTTGATCATTGAAAAACGGTTTTCCGTGACTGATAGCACACACAACCTGCACTTATAATATAGTAAGTTTCAGATTTGCATGTATATTACAATTTACAAGCGAGAAAGAGAGAACACAAATACAACCAGTCAACCACAAATCTTCATGTTCAAATACTGAGCAGATATGCTAAATTTTCAAGAACAACAAGATGAACCGCAAGAACGGCTGTCAAATAGCATAATTCAAACCTAATATAAAGAATTAACATACCACAACATTCGCTCTAAGCAGAATTGAGAAGAATTGCAGATGAAAAGTTGAGCGTCGCTAGCGATGAAACACTACCTCCATCATCGGCTGAACCCAGGAAGTCTTACTTGAGCGCCGCCAGCAAATTCGAATAGAAAATACCCTTACCCCTTTCTCCTTGCATTTCCCCCTTCTCCTTGCGTTCGTCTGATCTTCCACCGCAACGCCCTCTTTGTTTCGTTTCAGAGACAGGATGCCTCTCCGTTAATTTCACCCTACTTCTGTCAAAACCTAAAGCTTTATCTAAGGGATTGATATGCATATACATAATTTTCGTATACGTGTTTAATGAATCCATACGTAAAGTTTTGAGTGGTCCAACTAGGCACATGTACGGTACCTGCTAAATTAGATAATTATCATATGTACGGTAGAATTTTCCTTTAAATTTACCTTCTCTACACATACATTCAAATTCGAGGATTCTAGGATGAAGAGCATCTCCAATATGGGTTTGTTCTCACTAAAAAAAAAATTACACATTATCACTGTCGACATTGCTCCTAATATATACGGAGTATGTCTCCAACGCACCTCTTTTAAAGTTGACTTGTCAAAAATCAATGTAGACACCGTCGCTTTGACTATTTTGATATAATATGCTTCTTGACATGCTGACTCGGCAATTTTGGCTAAGGAAATACTGCAAAATGTAGAAAAAAATCAGAACTCCAGTCGCCCATCAAAATCTCTACACACGAAATACAATCACCCACGACCCACGACATATTCTTTTCACAAAGGTTTCAACTGATCGAAAGATCATTATTTCTACCAAAACTATTGACTGCGTAATTTTTTATCTTTAAAAAATACTACGTATAATATTTGATAAATGATCTAGAACTCATCGCCGAACATGGAATCACACTCGGAAGCGGAACTAGCAAGGGTCCGATTCACCTGTAGGAGAATTTTGATTAGATATGAAGGTTTTGATTTATTTTGATTAGATATGGTTGTTAAGTTAACCCATTGGACCACTTTTTCGGATTCCACCGTCTATTTGCATTACTCTTACATGATGTGGATAGACATTCCATTTATTAATTGTCATGTGTCAAAATTTATTGAAGATGCATTGAACATTGATGGCTAGTTTCAATTGTATTTACAATTTTGGTTATTTATGCATTTTTATTATTTGTTTTTATTCATTGATTTTTTTTTATCAAAAAATGGTACGTTTTTCATATCATATAAAGAGTATGTTAGAAGCGTAGGGAATGACATGATCAATATGAGGATAAAATCAGTATCGGGTATACAAAATCAGTATATGAGGATAAAATCAGTATCGGGTATACAAAATCAATTGTATCCTCAGATATCCATAATGGATATTTGAGGATATCTGAGAATTCATTTATTCTTTACGTGGTTAGCGACTTTTGTGACTCAATTGTAATTATTTGTAGATTTGAGTAAGTTCTATTTTTATTTGCTACCCCGATCGATTCAAATTTCTCTCTCGTGTCTTTGCTCCATGCTGCTAAGCATGCTGCATCTAGCTTGTATGTTACCACGTACCTACCATAAGGCTTTCTCAAACCAAATTGAAGAGCACAAGTCAAATATGGC